TGACATTCCAAGCGCTCGCCAGCCGATACGCACGACGGCAGACTGCGAAACGCTTTTAGTGCCCGTATATTGTACAAGCAGAACAGAACTGAAATTACTACTTTAAAATTCAACAGTTAAAGTACAAATTTCTTCAACGCGGCTAATATACAGCACGCGCAAAGGAAACCTTATTGGACTAAAATTAAAGTCATTTTCGAAAGTCACGTTGTATGCGGGCTTCAAACAATACGCAATTCACCTTCGAACGCGTCGGGTTGCGGTATTGCGGCTTCATTGTGTTAAAATAACGATGGAAGTTGGATTGGAAACGAGCACTACACAATACAGTCGATAAACATAAGTATATTTTTTATTTAAGTACTTATCGAAAAAAACACATACTTAGGTAGGTTTCAATTTTATTTGGGTAGGTACAATAAAATTGCCCATTTCGTTAATAAAGATAGTCATTAAATGCATCAACATAAAACAAGAATAATTTATTTATTCTTGTTTTCCTGAAATATCGATTCTGTTTATGCCTGCATTTTAAAATTGAAATGATACTATAGGTAAGAAAATTGCTACATTTTGTATCCGTTGAGGATACAAAATGTAGCAATTTTCTTTCTCAGGAATACAAAGTTCGCTGGATACATTTATACATGTTTAAGACCACCATCACTTCTTAAAAACGTTAATTGAATGTAACCAGTACTGTGATACAAAATGCAGATTGTAGCAACCTGAATTTTTTTAAACAAAACCTGCCCAAGAAAAAGTGTTATTCTACATGTTTTATGTTTACTATTTAGTTATTTGCAAATTGTTCTGTCGTGCTGTCGGTGGCACATCCCGCGACCTGTATGGTCCTGCCGGCTAACTGGTCATCGATCAATACTTCTGCGCGCAGTAATCGGTGGTCGCCACTACTAATATTCACATGTACATATACTATTTAAATTACAATGCACCAATAACTCTTGTCATGGTAAATGGTTCAACGACAGTTTCATTTGTACATCATTTTAATTGGTATTTTCTGCTACTTTATCGTTAATTGTTTTCTATCTAATTGTTATAAAAATATTCAGAACTTTACGTAAACGCTGTTATGACTTGAATTTGCTAATAAGAGAAAAGCCATATACAATTATTCAAATAATCTATAAATATATTGATTATGATAAATTTATACAGAGAGTCAAGAAAATAAGTATTTAATGTATTTACGGTATCATAATCATTAAATGGCACAAGTGGTAAGAACTCTACAAGACCATATTGTTAAATGTTGAATGAAAGTATATTTTATATGTAATTATATCTTAGTAGTCAATAAACCATTTATAATATCGCTTCCCTCCGTAAGTACCTATTATATGCGTCGACAGATACTAAACTAACTTGTGATTTACAGATTTGCTATTTCCATAAGTATTATCTATATGCAATTAGAAATAAACAACGAAACATTTAATAAAACATAAGTAATTACTTAACATTAACGAAATAGCAATAAAAATGTTTGAGTGTTAATAACAAACGCTATTCTTATAGACAATTCAATTATATTATCAGTACTAACTCAACGTTTGTTCCAATCAGAAATATTGAGATTATTTCGTTGCTTATATTTTTCCTAGTAGTTGGTCTTAAAATTTCTAACTCCTCGCTTCACATATTCACATCGTGTTTGTCGAGAGTCAAGAAGTCCGACGAGCCGAACGGTTGACGTCATACAGTCATGTTCGCCTCCCACCAGCCGGCCGGGCAGTCGCCAGTATTTCGTGACGGCGTTGTACATAGCCGCGGCAATTCTCCTCGCTGTCAGCTTTCGAAAAAGGCATGCAGCATTGGAAGTGGAATAAGTGGTTTGGACTGGAGCGAAGGCGGCTCGCGGTGACGGCTTATTGCGGTCATATAACCGGTATTCGAATGCGGCGGCAGTCGCTCGGCCACTCCACAACTTATACAGGCGATGTTTTGAGAAAGCCGCGCTCGGCGTCGGCTTCGCCGGCGTTAACAAAACATGACGCCTTTGCGATCTCTGTTCGTTACAGCCGGTTTAAGTCAAATTGCTTTTTAAGGCATATCGAAACGAAGTGGTTGCTTTTGATACGCACAAACAACGAAAGCGGAAATCGTTAATGTTACATGTCGCATGTAAGGGGTATGAATAAACAATGAATAAAAAGTTTTGTTCCAACAATCATTAGTAATGTACTCATTTCTTGTAATAATAAGTGTATTTACAACTACAAAAATATAATAAAGGATAAAAATCTATTTTGTTTGTAATGAAAAACCTCCTCTAATACTTATCAAATTTTAAAAATTCTTTCACAAGAGTACATTCATAGAGATACATAAAGTATACCTCCTTATTCTTATTCTCAACTAAAAACATTGTATTTCATTTATTTAAAAGACTGTACAGTACAATGATATATGAATATAGAAACTGGGGAGAAACTTAAGTAATTATTAATATAATTATAACTTATATGTGATTTTATGAATCAAAGTGAAAATGTACACATTATTATTTTTGTAATGTATGAATGAAGCTTACGTAATGTCTTTATCAATGAGTAGTGAATTGTTTCCGGGAAAATGATCATCAGGCCAATACTATATTATATACCTAAATTCTTAAATAATTAAAACTAAGAATATTCAATGCAATATGGATATTGATTGAAAAGAAATTTTGGTAAAAACTATATAATTATGTTCGCATTATTGAACCTATAATTAAGTACAAGATTGATCCGTGATAACATTTATCTTCTGACTCATAGACAACAAATATGATAAAACTAGTAATATAAGTAGATAATTGTTTATTACTTGCCATTACTCTACTTATGGAAGCAGTCAATTATATACATAGGCGTATAATACGTAGATAGAGCACTTCATTGGTAGATATTGTATAAAAACAATACAATATCTACCAATGAAGAAAAGTAAAAACAACTTTTCTTGTAATGATGACACCGTAAAGGTAAAGAAATTGATAATTATGCATAAATATATAATTTTTTTATTTGGAAGTTTTGTATTCTGTGAAAGAGCTAAAAGTTTGGTTTTTTAAATATGATACCAATTTCATAAACAATAAGCTGCTGCCCGCGGTTTCACCTGCATGATATTTGTAGTCTATATGTTTATGGTCTATTCTGGCTTTCGTTTGTCTGTCTGAACGTTTTCTGTATCAAATTAGTTGGTAGAAAAAATTGAGTAAATTCCAAGAAAAGTATCAGCAGAAAGTGTATCTGTCGTTTAAATCTCAGATAAACTTGTAGATATCGTGGAGTAACTTTACATAAAATAATCGTAGATTTTCGATTTCAAGCACTGAAACGTTCCTGACGTACGTCCCCTTAAGGGTGTAAATAACCTTATCCTATATAGGTTATGTAAGATTGCCTTATGAAAACAAATGAGGAAAGATGATATATAAGTTATAACAGGTGGATGAACTTATCAAGGTCAATCAATATGAATGAATGAAAGTAGATAATAGGTAGAAAAATTGTTTATTTCTTTTGCGAATCTTTTATGATCGAATATTATCAATCCTAATTGAATATTTTGGATTTATTTAGTTTATGTTCATTGACGATGACGATTCATAAGGCTAAGAGACAGAATGTAATGTGTTGGTAATTTTTGTATTTACGTTTTTGCTACGGGACTGTCAGTTAGAGACTGACGATATAAGGTCCGGCACATAAGGGTGACGCGTCGCACCGAGCTCCGGGGTGGCAAGTCCTGTTTTGCGTGTTCGCCTCGACGGTGCGGCGGGGGTAAGTTTTTCACGAGACCCTATATACCGCGACCACCCCGACTCGTACATAAGGTGGGCGGGCCGGGGTGGTTCGCGCCCGCAAAAGGGGCAAAATACGGCGTACTCTGGGCGCCCGTTCTATGTGGGTCAATGTCGGGAAAGCCCGTGTCTACCGGTGACGGAGTATGCACAACGAATCTGATCAACACGCCCGTGACCAAACAAAGGAACCGGCGAAAACCGCACAAGAATACATTAAGCCCTTATCGTTAGGGAGATAAGGTTCAAATTTAAACGGCGAGTACAGGGCTAGTGGACGCACTTATCGCATCAGCTGTTAGGCAACGAGATGCGTTTGCAAAGCACATTTAACTTAGCAGTGCAGTCCAATATATTTTAATGTTTACGTAAAATAGAACGTATCACCAGTACAATAAGATAAATATATCCTGGGTTAAACCAGTGTACCAAGATCATTTATTTATGAATCTGAATCAAGATGTTAATCTAAATCAATTCATATGATTCTGTCATATTAATTAGAACTATTAACATTATAGACAAATTTTTGGTACCGGCAGCAGTTCTCAAGTTTTATCAGGAATGTAAATGATGAAATTGTTGAAATCCTCAACAGCATACTACTTATTTTAGCTTTCGATTAGCATTATTTTCTCATAGTGAAAAATTATAGTAAAATTTAAAATTTAATAACTTGGTAATGATGATTGACGAGTTAGATAATTACAGATTCATGATGATTGCTTTACTAATAAAAAAAATCAGTTAGTGATTTCATACGATTCCAAATATTTTGAAAAAGTTACCGAAACAAAAAGAATATGTTCTCCATTGAGAAGGATGTTCTCACGTTTATAATATTTTGATTATATTTTTCAAAATCACTATTATATTGTAAGTTAAGAAATGTAAACAGTTCCAAACTTGCCAAGCAATCAATTATATTTTTAGAGGGGATAAGAATTTACTAATAATTTTCAATATAGTATACATATATTTAACTTCTGGTTTTACAGAACATAAGTGAAAACTGTAATAACTAAAATAGTGGAAACATGCGGCGACCCCAAATATACTAAAAGCAAGAAAAATATAAGAAGTTTTTTAAACAAATCTTTAGAATTGAACTATATTCTTGATTACACTTTTAATATGTCATCGAGTTGAACTTTTTTTAACAGAAGTAAGCGTTCAAACTTACCGACAGCCGGTGACATGGATCGTGAGCCGCTGGAGCCGGTAGGGCTAGGTGTCGGCCTCAGGTGAGGTGTGGTAGCGCGTCCAGCGCCCCCGCTGCCGCCCGAATCATTGCTATTCTGACCGGTCAGATCCTGGAACAAATAAAATTAATGTTGAATTACGATACATATTCAGATAATGCTTTTAACACAGCGCAACCTGATGAACAGGTTACAATTTTATATTTTGTGTAAGATCCGCCTAGATAGTCTGATTGCTAGACGACATGTTGTTAGTTCTAGATGGGACGCGAAACGCTAAGGACGACTTATTGCTATTAATTACTACTCTCATTCATGAATCGGGTTCAAATTATTAGCTAAATTAATATCTACTTCATAGTAGGAGTTTGAAAAAACTATGGTGTTTACTCGCTGCACCATTAATGTTAAAAAACCTTAATGTTTTTGCCATAATAAATTTTATTTACCAATATAAAATTTATTTAAGATTACTAATGCCCATTGACAACGTGAATCGATCACAATTATTCGTATAAAAAATAATTACTATTGTCACAAATAGTTATTATCTATAATTTGGCATTTAATTGAATGCCAAATTATAGATAATAACATCGTTTAGAACTATTCACGGTATCCATTAACACTTGAGCTGACCAAACTATATTGATAAATTTGTTTTCCCTGTAGATCTTATTATTTTGGATTCTTGCATATAGCAAAACCTAACAAAATAGCTACATAAACGATAAGAATAGGTATCTTTATAGCTCACTAAGCCATTAGAAGCATTTTTATAAAACTAGAGCTGTAAAATTTTGTGTCGTAGTTCTGTGCAGTATCTTCAAACTAAAATATAATTTTCCGGACGTTGCCCATGTTGTTGTATCTGTCGACTGATCACCTGACTCAAAATTGAAATTATACAGAATGACAAGCCGTTTTATGTGATCTATTACATTAGTTCGGTGCGAGCAATTTATTCGTAACCAGTACCTGTGTGACATATCAGACACGAGAACAGAAATGTTTTTGAGGTAATGGTTATAGCCCATGACCTCAAAGACGTTTCTGTTCTCATGTTCACAATCCTTCCGAGTATTCTGACAAGATTTTTTTGTGCTTCATCCTTTTCCTGCTATGTTATAATTTTAGACTTTAGTTATAGATAATTTTGTTTAATCGCTCACTAGTACTACGACTTCGAGAGCGGAGATAACATCTTGTAGTTCATACAAATCCCACTTTAATAGCAAATTTTGTAATAAACTCCAGCTAAAAATCTATAAAACAAAAATTCTCAATCAAAATTGTGACGAAACTTTTTCAAAAAATGACTAAAGTACGAGTACACAAATGAAATCGCAGACAAAGCTAGTTTACAGTTTGTCGTTATTCTAAACTCCACATTCCATACCACCACACCCGATACCTGGCAATTCACTTAGTATTTGATTTTACTTTTTTTATCTCAGTTACTATTTTGTAGTACCTACATAATATATAAAAAGCAAAACTAATCGATTATCCAGTAGAACCATTACACAACAGTTAACTATATTATGAATGTGATGATAATCCTTGACTTCTTGCAAAAGAGCAAAAACAATTCCGATTCCTTGACTTTTCGCAACGCAACCTCAGCGATCAACAAGCAGAACCACAAGCTAACAATAGCTTATCTCATTCAATAGAAAACGGTGGTCGCGATAATCAAATCACAATAAAACACTGACTGAGGATTCCCCGTCTCCACAAACAAAACAATACATTCATGAATGTCAAAAAGAAAACGACTTTAAATATATTATTCTTAAGTAACAAAATTGTATTGTAAAAGTAAAACTAAGAAAGTACAATATGTTATCAATAACTTATGTAACAATAACAAGCAAGATAAATTCTCAATATATAATAAACAAAAGTAATAAAAGTTACTTAAGCGTCATGTAAGACAATCAACAGTACATACCGTGTCAAACAGTCAACGCTCGATGCCCGTAAATCAATCGATGGTTGCTTTCGATTACAGAACACAACGGTAAACGCGATTAGACGATAGTCAGCAAAACAAAGCTGTCAAACAAATTCGTGGATGTTAAGCTTTTCAAAGTTAAAACCGAGTCGTATTATAAAGAGTGAGGACGGTGCAACGCGTTCACAACGTTGAAACGAGCTCAGCTCGGCGACTCACGACCCCCCGCTGTCGAGGTTAGTTCGCTCGCCTGCGAGAGGCTCCGGCGTCGATCAGACGAGTCCGGTGGGTAGGGCTGGGCCGCGGGGCGGGGGAGCGCGATAACAGCGCTGTTTTTGCCGTGCTCCAGCCCGCTTGCTCGGCACACAAGCGAACAACACGTTCTTCATTTCGTACTGAGTCCATTATCTCTCGTTGCATCCCGCTCGCACTCGCCGCTTACTTCGTCGCGCCTCGCCGCGCCGGCCGCTGTTTTATTGCCAGCCGACGATTTTAACGTGCGCTCGCAACGTCCGCCGGAGCACAAAAGTTTTTATGGAAATTTCATTCCAAATGCGCCTCGCTCGCTTGCTCACTCGGGAACGTCAATATAAAAGCACGATAACGAACGGACGAGTCAATTAATTATTATTGTTGGAAACTGTCGGGATATACCGGACTGACTATCTAGATATCGTATTTATGTGGTACCGTTATACATGCCTACTATTAAATATTTATATACATGAGCCAAATTTTTTAGTCACTGTAGCAATCCTTCGATATCTTGTTATGTGGCTATCAATTCATTATAATCCAATGCAATGTCATCAATCCCTGGTTCTATTTCCAAGATCTATTTATCTATGCTGCTTTATGTGGCCTACGATAGCCTAAGCATATTATACTTAATTTCCTAGAACGAAAAGTTTGTAATAGAACAGAAAAGTCTACTAGTTCAGTATCAATAAAGATAAATGCCAAACTCTACAGTGCTAATCAAGTTCAGGTTTGCACACAAATATCACTAACAACCGAACACTTCTCTCTTCATCGCTTTATTACAAAATAGTGTTTATTTAAATAAACATGCCAGTATAAATATTGATAGTATATAGATAAATAACATAAATGAAGAATATTCCAACAGCGGGACTGAATAATCTAAATCAACAGATGTAGTTATTCCTAAAATTGACTCTTCCCAAAAAGAAAAGTAAATAATATTAATAAATGCAAAATAGCTACATGGCTTCTTTGTTTAAGCTGTTCAGATTCTTGATGGAAATTAAATTTCAGTTTCATGTATACTACCAGTGCTTTAAGATCACTAAACCCTGTCTTTACTGACCCTTCAATATGTTAAAGATGTATGTAGTAAGACAAGACACTATAGACCGCCTATCAAGACATTAGTTGACATATTATCAGTCGAGTAGAAATCAAAAACCATCTTTGACAATTAAATTCGATAGTCGTTGAAACCGCCGAAATAAATTAAATTCTTAACATGCATAGGGATACATGGGACATTCGGCATAAAATGAAACGACCGACTGCACTTGGCCTAAATCCCAACGCAAATAAACACAAAGCTGCCGTCGAGTGGAAGTCTATACTTTATGTGGAATACACAACGATAGTAAATACAGGCTGAACTAGCTAGCACATTGCATAGACTGTACAATATGTGGGTGGAATGGAAACCAACCTAGTGACAATGATAATGAAATCCGCGATTGTTTTGTACTTGACTATCTTTTGCGTAACAATGTACAGTGACACTTAATATTTGAGAAATGGTGCGTCGTAAGCATAGCTTACAACGCAACGTGCCCAAGTATGTATCTATGAAAGATGATTAAAATTTATAATACAGTTTAAAATTGATTTCTCTGAACCAAAATCATACAGCTATTTTTTTTCTTATCTCGTCACTATAGCTATTCACTACTATATATTTAAACCATTTATTTCTTGCATATTTTTTTTTTATATTTAATTTAGGAGTGTTTTACTCATTGAGTAAAATTATTATATTGAAGAGGTGCTTAAAATTATGTGATTTTAATATTAATTCTACTTAAATTTTCATAATATAATGGTATTTCTCAATAATAGCGAAATTTATTTTTTACAGTATATTAAGTACGCGATGCCGTTATTACTATAGTAGAGAAAGACAAATAAGGGATTGATGGAACATATAGGGCTGGTAGAAAACATTTACTGAGAAATTTAAATGTGCGAATTAGCTTCAGATAATTTATGATTTACAGCAAAAATCATTGTGCCCTTTGATGCCCTATGATCCTAAAAACATATGTAACAATTTTATAACGAGAAGCATTGTGTCCAACAATGTGATTGCTAAATAAAGCTATCTGATAACAACCTTCTTCGATATTCTTATTAGAAGACAAATATTCAAATATGTACCACCAACGAGCCAAGAAGTTGCAAAACAAAATGTGAATGGTAATCACTTTATAATTTTTAAATGTTTCACTCATTCCATTCCAATATAATGTGAATGGGTGGTGCACGTCGATGAATATAACAAAAAATTACCATAATAAAACAAGGATACAAAATTCTTTATAGTTATTACACACATACATGGTTACATGATGTATGTAATATAAATCTGGTAGGCTAGGTCAGTGGCACGAGAACGCTTCAAGTACCTACAATCGTGTGCTATAAATAGAGGACTGTTGAGCGCTGGAAATTACAATTACCGCAAATCCTGTAGTACATCCTATAATTGGTAAATAGCCTTACAATTAAATAATTAGTTGATATACTATACATTATTTTTAGAGCATGTGATAGATGTCTTGATTTGTTACCAGAAAACTGAAGCTGTAGAACTAAGTCAGTAAACGAATAGAGGACAGCACCCAAATTACGGTAATTTTCAAAATTTTTTAACAAACAAGTTTCTCAGTTTTTCCTATTAGTATACTGATTAGCTATTTGCTTAACTTGTTATCTTGAGTATATCAGAAGCGAATATACACCTCAGCAATATCAGTACTTCTCAGCTGAAACTGGAGGCTGACATGAGTAAAGATAGAAATAGGCTATAAGATAGAAAACAGACATATAGCATTCTGCATTATTATATAGAATAACAATATTACGTCAAAACCACAACCAAACTATTACCATT